TCAAGACGATCATGGCTCGATCTCATACTGGTCGAAGATTTTGATTCTTAAACTATAATTGTATAAATTAGTCGACTTGGGATTTTCATCCAACACCTCCCCTTAGACATAGCCAAGTTTAAGGTATGACTCTCATAAGTCATACCATGTTAGATGAACACGACTCTCCACAATAGTATGAATATTGTCCACTTTGAGCATAAGTTCTCATGACTTTGCTTTGGGCTTTCCTAGAAGGCTTCACATACATGATCATTCTCTAAATTAACCGATGTGGGACTTTTATTAATCGAAGCGAGAAGCCAAGCATAAAAGATCTAGAAGGCAGTGGACCTCAAATCTTTTAAAAAAAAAAATTACTTTGGTTGAATTAAGTTTTTACTTATTTTACCACAGATAAAAATGAGTTTGGAGGTAATAAATGGGAGTTATTTAGTGGTAAAATCAAAGAAAAATATTGGTCCCTAAAACCCAAAAAGTCTTTTGTGGTATAAGCTAAATAATTCCCACAACTTTATAGATGCCAAATATTCACTTTACATTAAATGACTCAATTAAAAATAACTTAAATTAACCTAATTTCTCATGTCTTCGTAATAATAATACGATAGGTACGTTAAATTAGATTGGGGTTTTCGAGTTGGCTTAACATATTATAAGATAGATGAGTATGTATGATAGCACGTCTCTAGTCTCAAGCTTACGTTCATGTATACTAGCAATTGTTCGATGTAATTTCTGACACTACTACCTCGTATTTACTCCTATCATCTAAATTCGTTTTCATTTTAGTTAAATCACTAATAAATAAGTTATAATAAGTAATATTAGATAAGTTTTACTATGCGTTAGTGTAACGAAGCTATTTACTGTACTCACCTTTCATAGACATTGATAAAGGACTGATTAATAAGTCATGTAGTGTTGCACGTTTTTGGATAGTATCGAGTCTTATGATCCAGTAAGGCTAATTGATGTTGTGTTCAGTGTAGTTTGTTTCATCATATAAATTTTTTTTTTCATAATATCTATCAATATAAGTACTTATTGATATTTTTATTACATTTCTATAAATTTGAGACTTCGATATTTGCATCGACTAAAGATACTTTATTTTCTCGGGATTTTATTTATTTATTTATTTATTTGCAAATTTATATGAAAAGAAATTCTTTTTACTTTTAGTATTAATATTAATAATAATATGCTAACTAGAAAAGTCAAGGTTTCTATCATCAAAATTATATTTTTAACTCAAAGACAACCAATTTAAATGAAGTCTATGGACCAAAGAATAAATTTAGACCCAATTGCCAATTTTTTGTGGGGCTAATAACCCGAACAACTCATTAATTAATTTCTTTTCTAATTTTCGTCTAAATTTTGAAATTTGTATCTATCGAGTTTCCCGAATTTCAAAAATATATAATCTATCTCTAAATTATCAAAAATCCTTATTTTATCCGAAAAAATGCTTCTTTCTCTTTCATAACATAGATTAGATTAATTTAAATAATCTAAAAAGATTGTATTGTTATTGAGAATTGAATTAATTCTTTTTTTTTTTTTTTTCTGTACTACACAGCCGGAAAAATGAAAATTATTGTGGCGGAGAATGGGCCTCCACGGCGGCGACCGGCCTCGTAGTTTTGTCGCATGAGGGACAAATTGTGAGCGTCGCCGCCTTGGGTAGCTGAATATACAATTGTGAAGCTCCAATTTTTCTGGATCTTAATTCCTGCAACTCTTTCTTCAACCTTCCATTCTCTTCCTTCAGCCTTTCGCAATATTTCTTCAAGAACTCACAATCTACTTCCGTTTGTTTCAATTTCGACCTGTTCCATAAAAAAAAACATTTGAATCCATAGCTAAATTTTTAAAAAATTTAAGAACCCCGACCATCTACAATACTATGATATTGTCCACTTTGAATTTAAGCTCTCATTCAGGTGTTTTTCCAAAAAATTTCATATCGATGGAGATATATTATTTAGCTATAAACATATCTAATCTCCCGATAATCCTCGACATAACTAACCTTGCACGCCTGTTTTGAAACCAAACTTCCACTTGTCGAGATTTGAGGTTTAATTGATCGGCAAGTGCCAGTTTCTGGGCCTGCAAATCCATGCAAAAACAGAGAAAAGTTTAAATTTTTCGTAAGAAAATTTGATGGGTATTTAAGAAAAATGAAAAGAAGGAAAAAGGGTGAAATGGGTTGTGGAAATAATAATTAAGGGTTACCAGATTCAAGGTGGTGTGAAGTTTGAAGGTTTCTTCAAGCAAAGTGAGCTGTTCTTGGGAAAGCCTAAGCTTTTTTCTGTCTCTTTCTAATCCACCACTAATGGCGTTGCAATTATAATTAGTGGATGACCGATCTCTAGTAATTCCAAAGGAGGAATCCTTGGAGGGTTCATTAGCTTGAAGCTGCATGTTAATGGCGGATTCCTGTCTTGGAATGAGAGAGAAAGAGAGGTCAGACAAGAACTTGGGCTGTTTGTTGGCTTTCTGCATCGTTTTTGGAACATAATCGCCAAATCCTAAAGCAAGGCCAAGCCTGGTGTTGCAGAGCTCATCTTGGTCTCCCATGGCGGTTTAGAGAGAGAGAGAGAGAGAGAGAGAGAGAGATGGGATTTGGAGAAGAATGGTAAGGTGAGGATTAATTAAGAGAGAATTGGGAAGGAGGTTTCAATTATGATCATCAGTTTTGAGTTTTAATTATTGGGTTTATGAATGAATTTTGTTAAATGAGTTTTAATTAAGAGAGGGAGAGAGAGAGAGAGAATTTAAGAATGAGAATAAGAATTTTTTAAGAGTTAAAGCATGAGTTACACAACTCTGACTCCTAAGACCAAACCAAGATCTTCCTTAAATGCATTTGACCAATATCTTTCTTTGACTTTGTCTTTTCTAAATATTATATTTATTTTCATTCTTTAATCATTTTCTTTATCAACTAATTGGTATACAAGGGGTTTACATCTAGAGATCTCAATCACTTGAAGAGAAGAACGAAACATTTCTTATAAATGTGTACAAACCTCTCTCCTAAAGACACTTTTTAAAAGCAGACAATATCTACTAAATGTGAGCTTGAGCCATTATAAATGGTATCAGTGTCCGACACCAAGCAAACTACCAAATTTATGAGTCTATTTTTGTTGGTAGTGTTTGGACCAAGAAGGTCACATTTTCTAACTTAGGAACTAGATTTCAATTATATAAGTTTAGGGTGTTTCTTTGAGTTCATATTTGAAATAACTTAGGGTTTGTAATGATTATTGGACATTATAATATGCTTGCATTTCCATACACATGTTGCTACAATTCATATCATAACTTCAATGAACTAAACTCTTCTTTAACCCTATATTACCATCTACTTTACTTAATTTATTTGACTAAATTAATACAAATTTTCTTCAATTTTGCATTTTTGAAAAAAAAAAAAAACTAAACTTTTCAAAGTTTCAACACTTTAAAAATACTCTTAAAATTTGTTCGAACAATCGAGAATGTTTACCTAAAGTCATTCAAGCAATCAACCCTTTTTCTAGCCCATTCTAAAATCCATTCCCACCATCCAGCAGTCTCCAAAAGTTTCAAATAAGAACTCTGCTGTAAAAAATTATAATCCATTAGTATATTGTTGAATAGAAATAAAGAACGCTAATCTTTTATGAATTTGACGGTATCTATTTATTATGAGTTAAATCTTGTCATTTGAGGAAGGATTCAGATCTGAAGTGTTCATATTCATAGAAATAAAACAAAAGGAAGTCATGTCATGAAGCCTGGATTGAAGACACTTACATCAGTTGATTAATTCACATTACCACTTCCCTTTCAAATCATTTGTCACTGGGAATCTCCAGTGCAGCCATTGGTGATGTTACCTATTGCAAGAATCAATCACGTTGAAAAGTTGAGAAATGCACACCTCTTTCAGTGCCATACATTTATTGCATACAGCACCAGAATGCCGACCATCTGCACCAAAAAACTTCGAGGCTTCAGATGCCATATTTATGTTCAAATTTACAAGTTACAACCTGGGCAGATAGATCTCAGGTGTCACAACAAAATTCGAAATGTTTTGACCAAAAAAATTGGGTTTTAAGTTTGAAATGGCACGTTTTTCTTTCTAGAAAAGAGTATCTAGCATTCCAAAAAAGACAATATCTACTAGCAGTAGACTTGGACTGTTACAAATAATATCAAAGCCACACACTGGGCGATGTGTCAACGAGGAGGCTAAGCCCCAAATGAGGGTTTGATACAAGGCGGTGAGCCAGCAAGGACGCTGGACCACAAAGGGAGTGGATTGGAGGATCCCACATCGACTGAAAAAGGGAACGAGAGCCAGCAAGGACGCTAGGCCACGAAGGGGATGGATTGAAGGGTCCCACATCGACTGGAGAAGGGAGCGAATGCAACAAGGACGTTGGGTCTCGAAGGGGATGGACTGTGAGATTCCACATCAATTGAGGAGGAAAACGAAACATTTTTTATAAGGGTATGGAAATATCTCCCTAACATACGCATTTTAAAAACTTCGAGGAAAAACAAAAAAAAAAAAACAATATTTGCTGGCGGATGGAAGAGAGGGGAGAGATAAAGTAAAGGCGTAAAAGGAACCAGATGGGAGTCCTTAATGAAGGACAAAACATGGGTGAGCCATCTTGCCAGGAGTGGTTCTGTTTGGCATGGAACAAACACGTGAAATTATAACATCGGTTAAGTCAGGCCGAAAAGCGTAAATGACTTGAAGAAGGAGGTGGTTATCTTGGTAGGTATTGGGTCTATTTCGTTATGAATGAGAAACAAAATCACAAGCATAAGCTAGTCTTTGTCTCCCTTCCGCCATGGACCAATAATTGATTCTCTCTCTCTCTCTCTCTCTCTCTCTCTCTTGCGCGCACACACACACTCTCTAGATCTCCAACGGAGTATGCATAAAAAGCTCCCTCTATATATTGCTCCAAACCTATCTCTTTCAATCCCTATAATCTATATAACCTGATATTTATTAGAGAAGATAAGAGTCAAGAAATGGGATCCTCACATTTTCTTTTCTTTTTCCTTCTCTTTAATCTCTTCTATCTTCTTTCAGTGCATCGTTTGCAATCTCCACCTCTCTCCACAGGAAGACCTGCAAGAAAGTACCTTGGTTCATTGTTTTCCAATCCCGAATCCGAATTCCTCAAAGTCGAGGTATGAAACAAATACTAACCTGTGCCAATGGATTTCACCACCCTAAACATGTACTGATATTTCCTTATTTATGGTTATGGATATGCCAAATGCAGGTTCACGAAGACGAGCTCAATAGACCATCTGCAAAAGATATTTCCTCCAACATACCTGAATATGAAGCAAGTATCGACCGTATGGGCGAACTTGTCTACCACATTGACTATCATGGAGTGACAACGCATCCAAATCCGACGCCCAAACATCCATAGCCATAGATAACATATCAATTTTAAAGATGAAATGAACTATTCATACGTGTACTGAACTTCAGATACTCTCTTTTGTTTTATAATCTATCAAATGCTCGTTTTTTTCATATACGATAGAATCATTGCAGATAAGTCAGACTTTCGCGCTTACTTGAGCTTGGAACTTGCCAAAATATATATGAAACTCAATAGCTCGAAATAGGAAACATAGTTGACAAAGAACCAGACACATTAATCACTCGTAATTGAATGCAAAGAAATCATTCCTGTTGTGTATTGACTTCTGACATTTCTGAACCTCTCGAGCAACTTTTTGTAGCACTCCACAGCATTCTCAAATCGAACTTCCCTACAAAATCTGGACTTCACCTCCACAAATGTAGTTTCTACCTTTTCTCTATGAGTAGCACAAGTAGATAACAGATCTCTGATACCAATTGAAGGCATAATCCACTGATCTTCTTTGACACTTTCTTTTCCATCTACATTGAGAAGCCTAAGCCATCTCATCCGATGAAAGGGGTCTTCGTCTTTCTCAACTGAAATTTTAATACCAGCAAGCACTTCCAAGAAGTTTGACTCTCTACTAATTTTATCTATCAATCTACTGAAAATAGTCTTCTGGTTCAGGTCAGGTCTATTATTGTTATCTGAGGGCAGAAAACTTGCTTCTACCAAGCAAGCCTTTCGAAAGTTATGATCAGATACACTAATTAACCAAATTGCCAAGTGCAGCAGTTCTACTGACATAGTTCCAAACAAAGTATCATATTGCTTTGGGTTATCATTCCAATTCCAACAATAGACAGCAGTATGAACAAATCCTTCCCACCTGAAATAGGACAAAAGGAGAACAAAGTAAATAAAACATAAAACCGCGACAGTTTCTGAAAAATGTCATAGAACCAATTAAAAGTTTTGGCATAAAACCGTGTAGATACATTAATAACTAGGTAAAATGCACTTGCATGTGAACTTAACCACAATAAATAACCAGGAACTAGCAATGCAATAATGACAAATTTTAGGCTTTTACTAGGACAGTGAACTACGATGAATTTTCACAAGAACACAAAATCATAACTTAATGATCATCATATGAAGGATCTCGCTATAAGACAATTCTATAAGCATAATAGCTGTCTGATTAAATCCCATGGGATCCACAAATTCAAAGTCCAATTTTAGAAAATGGAGAATCCAACATGAATTATGGGCATCAAACACCTGCTTTTCCAGACGCATTGGGCCCAAAAAGTTGCTCGTGTCCCATGGAAACATGTCAAGGTTCCATACTTTATTAAAAGCACGTTAGTAACAGCACATGATTTGTTCCTGAGTTATCAGATGGTACAATATATTGGTCTACCAAAAAAGACACTCCAAAAGGTATTTAAACATTTTATTTATCCTGTTTGCCTCAATTAAAATTCGAGACACAGATAAGTAACATTTTATTTTGAAACAAACTCTCAGCATTAGTGATGCAATTACACAACAGTAAGGATGTCTCAGCCACTACTCGCTCAGCTGATTTCAAAGAGGGCAAAGCTGCTAATTCCTTACAAGAAAGTAAACGCCACCTCTTGAGTCGAATGAAAACCACAGTTCGTACATTGACAATCAGCCAATTAAATATAAGGACAACAAGCACTATAACTGGAAATTTTTGTTCATACAAGTGCTTCAAGTATCAGGATGGGAAGTAAATGTAACTGAATATGCTTATTAAGCATAAAAAAAACATGGCAATATCGCTGAGGAGAACACTGCTGTAAATATATTACAGGAACAGCCGCACTTACATAATAGAACAGAACAAATGAAAAAGCTGATAGAATTATGGGCGTTTGGCGTAATCAACAGAATTATCAAGCATACATCACTGTGTCTAAAACATATTTTCTTTCTTACTCATTTCAGTGTCATGCCTTCAATCCTATTAGAATGAAAAATGATTGATTTCTAATGGTTATAATGATCTTAAAAAAAATTCTTCAAAACTTCTGGCTGGTAACACTCTAGACTTTTACATCATATATGTAAGCCCTAGATAGAAATATCATAGCTTTTAATGTTCACCAAATCCGTGATTGCAGATGTCCTTAAAACCATAATAGCTTTACAAAAAATAAATAAATAAATAAACAAGAGAAAAAGTACTTGATGGGATACCAATTTCAAGAGATTTTGAACTTAATGACCATGACAAAAATATTTAGGGAACACCTCAAAAACTATTTTGAATTGAAAGACCCCTCAAGTGAATCTAGCTACTTAGTTAAATAATCCCTTCGGTTACTCGTAGATCTTTACACATTTAGGAAAATTTCTTCCCATTTGTCATTATAGCATCTCAAAAACTATTCTCCATCAACTTCTTCAGATTATAGTTAAACTACATGAAGTGAAATGCAATAGACCAAAAGAAAGATTTCAATCAAGTCAACTAAAATTCAAACAAAAGTTCCCATTTACTTACTCAAAAGGTGGTTCGACCTCAATACCAAAGGTAAGGTGTAGGGAAGACCCATCAGGACCATTATTTTCAGTACGAGCCTCATGAAGAAATCCTCTAGGAATATATAATACATCACCCTCCCTTAGTAAAAACTGCCTTCCAACCGCCAATGGACTCTCAACCTCAGAACAACGTGGGAATTCATTAGCATCATACAAGCGAGGTAAACACATCTTTGTCGGACTAAAAACTGTCCACTGCTTGCTTCCAGCAAGCTGGCATACAAACACACAATGATCATCATAATGACGAGCCAAACCCTGAGAACCTGGAGGAGTCAAGTACATATTAGCACCTACAGATGGCTGACCAAACAGAGACGCTAAAGTATTTGCAATAGCAGCAATCTTCTCATACCGAAATTCCATGCCACGCAGAGCAATTGTATAACCCTCTTTAAAAGCTTCTTCACACTTTCGTGCATCATTTAACTTTAAGAAATGAGGACCCTTGAAGCAACATGGCTCAAAATTTTTCTGAAAGAAATGTATCTCTCTTTTCAAACACTCATCAGTTCTCAAGACACGTATATCTTGCTGATAAATTAAAGGAAATCCCAATTCATTTCGTGCCTCCTCTAAGAAATTATGTATGTCTAGTTCATCTGAGGCAATAGGATTACAAGAAACTAATCTTCCAAGCATTGATGAAATAAAGGAGAGATTTGTTTTAATTGAGGTTATAGATCCCACAAATGATCCAATAATATCAGCTTCTTCATTTATGGTTGTTGAGGATTTCTGCATGAGACATGGCGATGATTCCCAGTGGTTAAGCATGAATTCTTCAAAGTTCGACCCACTTAAACCCAATAACGCTTTAACCTCCTTCACCGGAAAAATTCTGCTAACTTGATCGGTACTGATGGAAAGCCTAAAAATACACACGGCCAAATCATTGGTGCTAATATTGCTAATTTCGAATTGCTCCTGCCAGCTGCACTCAGTTTTGTTAATTTGCATCATTTTACTACATACTTCTATCCATTGTTTTTTCAAAAATGTCAAGAATGTCTTCAAGTAGTAGCGTGGTATCTTTTCCAAATGTTTGAAATAGCAAGTGTTCAATAGAACTATAGCTGCACTCAGAATTGATATTGAAAGCTCATCTCCTTCAAATCCTGCCTTCAGGATTGCAGAATTTTCGATATATACAGTGCCTATGAACACTGACATTGCTGAAGAGGCTGAAACCTGCAAAAATGCAGATCTAGTAGATATTAAGTTCAGTTATCCAAGAAAATGCTCGAAACTTACATAACTGTGATTCGCGCCACAAACTATCACACCAGCAACTCGTAATATGTGTCACATAAGTCATGGCTGAAATGAATTGTAGAGAAACACAAAGTACATTTGAGTGTACCCTTCTTTCTCAAGTGCTTGTTTAAAATGCAAAGATGCAGGGGTACAAAATCAACATGAAGAACAGAGTTAAGTTCACAGCCAAGCCCATTGCACCATATGAAACAATAGCAATATATACTTACATAAGACGCTCGATAGCAGAGAACTCAACCAAGCTTTCCCGCCCAAAGGACGTGGTGGACAAATCCATAACAGCATTACAAGCAGCCAACGCAACCCTTCTCTTCGAACACGCCAAGGTCGAGATCAAAGCCCTCACAACCCCATCAGCCGAAGCAATCACTTCATTCATACGGAGCGAAAGAAGCGAAGCAGCGCCCACAATCTCAGCAGCACGAGAAGCAATTCCTTGGCGCCTACACCAGGAAGAGAAAAAAAAAATAACAAACAAATTAAGAAACAAACAGAATATGTCAATCCAATGGCAGGTAAAAGAACCGAAAGAGATGGATTACTCAGAAAGAATAAGAAGAGGAAGAAGAGAGAGGATTGAAGATGGAAGAGTTTGCAGAGGGTGTGGAGAATGTGGAAGAAGAGCGAAATGGAGCTCCGCCAAGCATTTGGGAATCAAGGAGGCAGCATAGGGATTGCGAGGGGTAGAGACGGCGGCAAGAAGAAGAGAGAAAGTAGTATTGACATCGAAATCGGAATTGGATCGTCTCTTTCGTTTGGTTTTGGAAGTAGACGTGCGGCTATGGCTACAAAGCTTCTGCTGCTGCTCCATTGATGCACCCAGTGATTGAATGAACTGCCAATTCCCTCGCCACAGCCTGTGTCGTCTTTATATACAAACACCTCCTCGCGCGCATGTTTGTTTTTGGATGCCCATTATTATTATTATTTTTAATTCAAGGAGTTAAATTGAATTCAAACCCTAGATGTTACAATTTTTAAAAATTTTTTGAGATGATCCTCTACCTCGACCTCGAGCGGAATGAAACATTCTTTATAAAAACGTGGAAACCTTTCATTTCATTGTAAAATCGAGCTGACATGATTAAAGCAGACAATATCCACTAGTAGTGAGCTTGGATCGTTACTAGTTCAATTCGCATTAGTTTAGAGTTCACAATTTTCTATATAAATAGTTACCGTATTCTTACCTAAATTTTTAAAACATCAAAATTTCTAAACCAATTTACTAAACTAAGTGTAACTAAGCAATTCAATATATTAATTAAACTTTAGAACATGAAAAATTATTCAAGAAAATTGTCATAGTATGGATAAGTTAGAAGTATGAGAGAGAATTTCAAAAGTATCTAGAATTTGTATCCCATGTTTATTATCAAGGCATGCAAAATTTTGAATCTACATCCAACTGTTATTGAGAATCAGTCTCGTTAAATAAATTTTCATGTAGAAAAATGCATCGGATTCCCTATTTTCGAGACAAAATAGTACCTTGTAGTCATCAATTTATCCTCCACATTAAGGGATACAAATAAGCAGATGATTCAAGCAAAAGAAACTCTGTAGGTGCAAAGATATTTGCTTAGAATTGAAGGTTTGATCGACTTCATCTTATTCCTTGATGCCCAGGAGTTTACCCAACTCTCCGCTCTCATAAGCTTCGACAGTATCTGAAAATGAAGGCATCAGTCAGTTAAAAGCACTTTGGAGAAGAGTATATTACAAAGAATAAGTTGGCAATGAAGAGTCGATTACCATCTGATCCACCTATGTGTTTTCCATCTATGAACACTTGAGGTACAGTGCGTCTTCCAACAAGTGCACTAAGAGCATCTTGAATGGCACTGCCATCATCTGGGGGATAAAGATCCAAATGCTATGAATTAAGTAGTTACTTCTAGGTTATCAGTAATTGAACAGCAAGGAGATAGCAGTAGGATATATGAACAGAAATGGAAACAAGAGAAGAGTTAGATATATGTTTAATGGTATAACAGTTTTGCCAGTCTATTTAGGGAATTCATCCAAAGCTTAAATTCTCTCACCCATAATGAAATGAAAGAAATAAAAAAGCTAAACTCAATAATGGTAGGAAAGAAGACATTTCACGATGATATGGTATTTTTTGTCCACTTCGAGCATAAGCTCTCATGGCTTTGCTTTTGGTTTTTCCCAAGAGGTTTCATATTGATGGAGATAACGTCATTTATTTATAAATCCATGATCTTCCCCTTAATTAATTAGTCAATGTGGGACAATTTTCAACAATCCTCCCTTCGAACAAAGTACTCTATAGAGCTTCTCTTGAGGCCTCTTTCTCTAGAGCTCTCTAACAACCTCTCTTTAATCGAGGCTCGACTCATTCTCTGAAGCTCTTGAACAAAATATACTCTTTATTCGGCACTTGAGGGTTCGATTGACATTGCTAGGTTAAGGGCATTATCCACTTTGAGCATATCTCTCGTGACTTTACTTTTGGTTTTTATCAAAATGCCTCATACCAACGGAGATAGTATCCTTTACTTACAAACCCATAATTTTTCCTTTTAGTTAGCCAATATAGAACCAGACAAACAACTTGCATACAAACTGAGAAAGATGAAAGAAGATTGTGAAGCACACACAATCACAAGCATTTTTTGAACTTTCTTCTCGCAAACAAAAAATTCCAAACAACAATAATCAGACATACTTCTGCATACCCTTTCTCCCTAGTTTTTCTCCTTTTCCTCTACCATCTCCCACTCTTAGGCCCCCTCTCCTAAACTCTCAAAAGAACACATTAAGCAGAAGGAACAACCCTTTCAAGAAGACACTTAGAGGCTGAAAATTGTAGCCGAAGAGGTAGAATTTCCCCAAACAAAACCTTCAATTTCGAATTGGCAAAGCATTATGTCATAGAACCAGATACATAAATTTTGCAGTCGCAGATAATCATCGTTTAGAGAGGTTGGAGGCAATGCTAAGCACAGATTCTCTTTCTAAGTGTTACACTAAGGTTTGAATACCGACGATGAATCAGGAAAGAACAAAATGGAAGCAGAAGATAAGCATATGAAGAAAATAAATGACTAAAGACAGAGGTAAGCCATCTAGTTAACACTTGAGCTTCAAAAATATCAACAGTGATATCACAATTCAACGTTTTCATAGCGGGAGTGAACAAGCCAGAACAAGATTTTCATATAAAATTACTGGAATCTAAATAAACTAGCAGGATCCAGAACCAAAGACATGAAATAGATGAAGAATCTCAAAGGCAGGAACCAAACATACTCAATTTCAATTAGATTTAACCCAAATTCAGCAGTATTTACAAAAGGTAGTTGTTAATGTTACTTATTCATAAACAGGGAGAGAGCTAGAAGAAGGGAAATTAAGCAAGTACCCCGTTGATCCAGCTCAACAACATGAGGAACTTTGTTCAAATCCTTGAAAACAGCTTTTGCCGTTTCACAATACCTGCATCGCACAATCAAAAACAATATTAAAGTAGTTGACGACATGACCGCCGCGGGTTAACAGAGAACAACGAAAGTCGAATAGCAGAAATGAGATTAATAATAGATCGATGCTGGAAGCGAGAAAAAATGAAAGAAGAGAAGAAGGAGAACGACAATACGGGCAATAGGATTTGGAGAAAATGACGGACTGGTGGGAGGCGATGGTTTTCTTGACGAAGAGCGACTCCGGGGAAGATGAAGCCATTGCATAAACCCTGGCTGCTGATACCATCGTCGTCATCCTCATACTCAACGTCGCTGCCATGGATACAAATTCCGGACTGCAACTCTGCAATCAACTTTTGTCGATAAGGATGCAAATGTCGGCGATTAAGTTTGTACTTCAGTCAAATTAACTGTTGGCCTTCCTTTTTTAAATTTATTTATGTTCCTTGAATTATGCTGAATTGGAATGTTTGGATAATAATAATACTGAAAAATAAATAAAACTAAAAAAAAAAAAAAAAAAAAAAAAAAAAAAAAAAAAAAAAAAAAAAAAAAAACAAATCAAAACCAGATGCATTCAATTTTGCATCCATAAATCAATTAAATTAAAAATATATATATATATTGAAGATGAAAAACTTATTAGACAAAAAAAAAAACAATTTTTAAAGTTGAAAGAACAAATATCAATATTACACAAATTTAATTTTATTACTATTTTCAGGTTCAGATTTAAAAAAAAAAAAAAATTAAAATGTGGGTTCTAATTAAATTGATATTAAACTTTTTTTTTTAGAAAATATAATAAAAAAATGGTTATGTAGTAATGGTAAAATGTTGGTAGTTTACTTTCTACCCATATAGCTCAACCTGATAGCCATATATCATCACAAGAGTGTGAGAAAGTTCAAATCAACATGACTTTGAGATCTCACATCGGTTGTCGGTTAGAAAGGAGGAGAACGAACATATTCACCCCTCATCCAACCTCACTCTGAGATCTCACATCGGTTGGAGAGGAGAACAAAACATTTTTTATAACCTCTCTCTAGCGCTTTAAACCGAAGGCAACAATATCTACTAGTGGTACACTTGGACCGTGACAATGACATCAAATATAAAATTTTAAAACTCTATCTAGAAAATGAAGAGACCAACAAGATCCAGTTAAACAAGCATAACTAGACGCGCAAAAATGGTTCGATCTATTGAAGTTCGAAAATCTCCTTACAAGAAAAGAATCGTTATCACTGGTGTGAGACAGAGAGACAGAGAGACAGAGAGAGAGAGTCACAGAGAAAACTTATCCTCCACCATTAAGAGTTACAATTGAACAACTGATCCAAGCAAAATATACCCTGTTGGTGCAAATATCTCTGCTTACAGTAGAAGGGTTTGATTCAAAGATCCGCTTTATGCTCTTCATTAATGCCCAGGAGCTTACTCAACTTCCCACTCTCATATGCTTCAATGGTATCTGGAATCAGGGTTTCAATAAGTTAGAAGTACTTGGAGAAATATGTTACCACACAAAAATTTGCCATAGAAGTGCCCATTACCATCTGATCCACCTATGTGTTTTCCATTTACGAACACTTGAGGTACAGTGCGCCTTCCTATGAGTGCCATAAAAGCATCTTGAATGTCACTGCCATCCTCTGTGAGATACAGATCCAAATTCTAGGAGTATTATTAACCTTTAGATAAGGGAATACAACCAGATATAAATAGATATGGAAACAAAAGCCAGATATATGTTTACTGATAACCCTTTTGCTAGTTCGTTTAGAGAATTCATCCAAAGCTTGAATTCTCCCCACCCATGTCGAAAAGGGAAACAAAAGAGAAAAAACATAACAAAGAACCTGCAAATCAACTAAAAAGATAAAAATAAGAGGATTTTGTACAACATAATACATAATTAGTCGACCCATAATCTAAGCGTTTTGTCAGTAAATGGACATTTCAGGCAACAGCTAATAGGACTCACTCTTGCACACAGTTTCTCCCTTTCATTGCTGTTTTCTACCTTCCTCTACCATCCCCCCACTCTTTGCCCTCCCTCTCTTAACTCCCAAAAGAACACAAACTAGAAGGAATTACCTTCCATTCTTGTTTGGGGGGTAGATCTGAGTGTGTGATCTGATTAGATATAAGTAATTTGAACATTTTTAGTTCAACCACGTCTATGGGGTGGGGGATTCGAACCTCTAACTACTTAGTCAAGAGTATATGCCTAAACCAGTGGCCATATGTTCAGCCAGAGTGAGGATTTTAGATGAAGAGAATAGACGATCCCAAACGACCATGTTAGTTTCGAAGCGGAATGCATTTTACAGAGAATCATGTCACAATACCTAATACATAAATATTCCAGTCGCAGGCAGTCACCATTTCGAGAGGCTGGAGGCAATACTAAGCACAAATTCTCTTACTACTCCGTCACCATTAAGTTGAAAAGATCGTTCATTTAAATAATGATAAAAAAAATCATCAAAAAAGATATAAGAGAAGATTTTCATATGAAATTGTCCGAAATCTAGATACCAACATGCCCATATCAAGTGTAATATCCCAACCAATACTTTCATAATGCGGAGAGCATAAGCCAGAACAAGATTTTCATATGAAATTGTCCGAAATCTAGATATACTGGCAGTGCCAGAACAGAAGGCGTGCAATAAAAGGAGCACAAAACAAACATACTGAGTTTCAATCAGATTTAAGCCATGGTGATATTGCTACTTTTGATAAAAAGAACGAGAAAAAGGCAGATTATGCAAGTACCTCTTTGATCCAGCTCAACAACATAAGGAACTTTGTTCAATTCCTTGAAAACAGCTTTTGCCCTTCTACAGTACCTGTATGCACAAAAACAACAATTAAGAGAAGAGGAAACTAGCCCCTTCCTCGATCTGCTTCCAAATGTAGGGCAACGAAACTTAAAGTAATAGAAAACATGGCCACTGCGGGTCAAGAACGGAACAACAAAAGTCGATTTGGAGAAATGAGACGAATAGATCCACAATGGAGTCTGAATAAATCGATTAAGAAGAGAAAAGAGGAATGAGAAGAAAATTACGGGCAGTAGGACTTGGAGAAGATGACGATCTGATGCGAGGCGATGGTGTTCTTGATGAAGCGTGTTTCCGTGGAAGCTGAGGCCCCGTATAAAGACGCTACAGCTACGGCGCAGACCATAGCTGCTGATACCGTCAGCATCTTCCTCATACTCATCGTCACTGCCATTGATCCAAATTCCAGGCTGCAATTAACCTTCTTCCGGTGAGGTTTCTGCGTTTGGCGATTAATTGCTCGTAAGCGTAATTTTAGAGAAGACAATTACTGAAATTCAGCATCTCTTGTATATTCACACTTCTTGTAAGATATTACGCTTTTTAGGTTGCAAATAAATAAATAAATAAATAATCTATATTTCTGTAATAATAATAATAATAATATAATATAATATAATAACAGCAACAAGTCACGGGTGGTTGTTCGACTTAATTCATTCTAGTTAATTATAAATTTCGAAATTTAATATTTATAATTTCAAAAAAATTTAAAATGACTTTATATTATTAATTTAAGGTTAAAGATAAAAATTAATTAGCATTCACTCTGTAAGGAAAAAAATATCCCAAGTTTTTTCTGGAATGGAAATTACTCTTTTTTATATCTCTAAATTCAATTTTTAAAAACATATTTCAAACTATACCAAATTTAGACCTTTGAAATTACATAAACAAAAATGGAATAATATAACATCCCACATCAATTGGGTGTAGAAACCTCTCCCTAGTATACGCACTTTAAATCTGTGAGGTTGACGGTGATACATAACGAGCTAAAACAGCCAACAAGGACGCTAGCTTCCAAAGAGTGGATGCTAGCTTCCAAAGAGTAGATTATAAAATTTTACATCGGTTTAAGAAAGAAATGAAATATTTCTTATATGTGTGTGGAAACCTAATCGTGAGACTGGCAACTGACAGTGGTACGTAACAGGTAAAAGCAGATAATATCTGTTTGACTATTACAAAATAGATCTCAAATATGAAGACAAATGATATTGTAATATGAAATCAACACGTGTTAGCCAAATATAGTAGGATCAACTGATTCTCCCATGAAAATAGTCTAGATGAACTCAAGCTGACACCATTGTCAATGATCAGAAGAAAAGAAAAAAACCCAATAACTTACTGCTTGTAAAAACAAAAGAAGAGGAATTTGAATTTATACTATTGCACTTCAAGTTCATAAACATGAGGAAATGCACAGTGGATTGTGTAATGGGCTACAGGCATAGTGAAGCCAATGTCTCGGCCCCTGGATTCATGGCCACAGGAGGATCTGGTTGTTTCCAATTAGAATGAAAATAGAATTCTTTCCTAACAATAAATGCATAGCTACGTCTGGATTTCAATGAGCACCCTTTTCCTTCCCAAATTCCTCTGCATCAAATTTATACCAAGTTGAATGGTGAAAATGGGTCGGGATGGCAAATCCCAACTGGTTTCTTAAATCGTTTCAGAATACTAGTAACAGCCCAAATCCACCGGATATTGTCCTCTTTGAACTCTACTTTAAATGCTTCCTCTCTAGATTTTAAAACGTGTCTGACAGGGATAAGGAGAGGTTTTCACACCCTTATAAGTGATGTTTCGTTCCCTTCTCTAACCGAGGTGGGATCTCACAATACTAGACTCCAACATTTTGTTCGATGCCTCTAAACATTAGAGGTGAAAACGGGTTAGGTCGGGTTGGGTTTCTAATTGTTTTAGAAAGACCAACCCACCACCATGAAACACTTGACTCTAACTTTCTCCCGATGCCTCTAAACATGTGGAAAAAACATATTATTGAAGCAATGACGAGAATTCAATAAGAGTACTAAGAAACATGTAGGAAACGCTCACTATCATCAAGAAGGAAATGTTCATACTACGGCCTAGTGATTTGAACAGCAAGTCCAAGAAATGTTCAAAGTTTTCATCTATGAAATGAGTAAAAGGGCAGAGCTCACAATGTATGTAACCATATATGATCTACAACATCCTCTTCCTCCAAATAAATAATATTCACTATTGATGGTGTGAGAACCGTCTCCATCAAATGGGAACTATAAGGCTAAGAATGAAGTGAGAAATCAGCATATTACTCTACAAAGTGTACTAAACAACCAAGAAAATAAACACAAAAAATACTAACCTCGTTCATCAACTGCAAGGGGCCAAGCAAAGAGCTGCAACAAACTGCCGAACAAATATATAAGAAGCATGAAGAACAAATCAAGTGCCTTTAGAAAGTGGAAAACCTCTTTAAAATGTCCTAGAGCTAGCTAATTCCTGAAGAGACTTGAAGAATTTGGAAAGCTAATTTAATTCTGTGTGTTCTTCACATGATAAACTCGCAATGTGTTCAAATCAACAAACAAATGCAAAAATTAGCGAAATTTCAGATTATATAGATAAATGCCTCGATTTTGATCTGAAATTAACAATTTATATACATATAGGCCTTAAGAAACAGAAGAACTATCAACGACAACGACAGTAAACGGATACAGAGTAATGAGTAGTCAAAGGGAAACGGGAAGGTGGAATCAACGTAGACAATGAAGAAATCTGGAGAAGAAAATCTGTACAAATGTAGAGAAATGGTTAGGAACTTGGGGCATTTAGACAGGGGGAATGTTGGAAAAGGAGAAGCCCTTGTAGCCCTTGTAAGCATAGTAGGCAATCCGCGTGTAGTAGAACCCTGGAATGAACAAGAGAGCTCCCAACAACGAGAAGAACACCCCTGAAAGTTTTCGAGAATGAACCATAAATTTGCATTCGAACTAGGGCAAAACCAACAACAAGGAAGGCAAAAAAAAAAAAAGTACCGTGAGCACGATCACCACCGACTCGATTGCTAGCCATGAAGGCACCAACGACGATTCCAATCATGCCGAAAACGAGAAGAGAAACAGCAAGAGCGATCTCCTTGATAGGAGGTCGATTGTTGACGGGGAACGGAGAATCCATAACAATGTCCTCGTCTGCTATCGAAAACGCATGGTCCACGTACGCCATCTTTATCTGTAATACCGGAGATCAAGAGCTGAAAAAAGAATAAGGTGTTGAAGCTTCGATATGCAGAGAAAGAGTATCGGATTTGGGGAAGACGGCGGAGGAGGAGACGACGGTGGACTTTTGATTTTAGAAGCGAAGAGAAAGCTCTCCGGCTGTTTTTGACTACGAGCAAGGTGGAGTGAGGAGAAAGGCGAAAACTTCCACGTCAGCGTAAGGAAAATAAAAAACTTAATCTTAATTAATGAATAATTAAACGCAAACAATTAAGTATTAAATTAAAGCTTAGTAAATATTTGATAATAAAATTACGTTTTACGTTTCACGTAGATTTAATAATAAAATTAATAAATAAATATAAAATAAAATAAAATAAGTAAGAAAAAGCCCCTTCTCATTTTCTTGTTCTCTGGCTCCCAGCGACCGGCAGCCGTACCCGCGCCTCCGATATATTTCTTCCGGCAGCCCCTTGGCGGGAAATTTTATTTCTTCTTGTCGCATCTCCTTTTCTGCTGCCGCCTCACGCCGACACGCCGATTTCTGTGTGTTTAGAGAGGTTAGTTTTAAATTCTACCTGTTATCGTGATCTTAATTTGTTCTGTTTGAAATATCAAATCCTGTCGCTGCTGCTTTTGTTTCTCGACATTGGATCGGACAGCATTAAATAATATTGGAAATGGATCTCAGTTTACTGGTTAATTGCTTTAGATTTGAAGCCTAAGTAGCAGGCGATTGGGAGCGTGTAAAATAAATTTCTTGAATGTGAATTAGTTTTTATCGCGAAGTTCTTTTGTTATTGGGCTAAGATAAGATTTGATGATGGATTGTAACAAAGAAAAAGAAAAGATCTCAGTTTTGTTCTGTTCTTCTGAGGTCGTAATTGTTATTACTTCACTTCCATGGAAACGAAATTGTAAGTTTTACATTTTTTTGTAGATTTCATTGATGTAGACTTCCGAATCCTGTGCTTCATTATACTGATGATTCATAGAGGCATATTCTAATGGCAATTCCTTACCTTGTTTTGATACTAATAACTGGATCGTGCGGATGCGTGCGTGTTTTATTTACTCGACATTATTGTTGAATAGCTTGCAATGCTCACGTTTCTCTTGATTCTGTAGGATTCTTTTCCTCTTTTCTCAATGGGTTTAAGTAAAACTGAAATCAACTTGAAGCGGCTGCTGGCAACTGCCCTTCATCAGAAGGATCAGGCTAAACTTATACACGTACGTCCAGATTATTGAGTGAAAGTTTCAAATGGTTTGATTTTCTGTCGTGTAAAAGTGATTTGAAGATCATTATTCATTTTGGCCCAACTATTCTTGCAGTATGTGACTACTCTAAGAGAACAGTTGGAGCAACTTGCAGAAGAGAAAACACCCGATGGTATATCAAGGTTGGTATGATTCATCCCTCACTTTCCCATTGTTTCCCGGGTCAATCCACCAAAGATATAATAGTCCAAGCCCACTGCTAGCAGACATTGTCCTCTTTGGGTTTCCCCTTTCGAGCTTTCCCTCAAAGTTTTTAAAAAGCATCTCTACGGAGAGGTTTCCACACCCATATAAAGAATGTTCTGTTTTTCTCCCTAACTGATGTGGGATCTCACAACCCACCCCCTTCGAGGCCTAGCGTCCTTGCTGGAAAACCGCCATGTGTCCACCCCCCTTCGGGGCTCAGCCTCCTTGCAGGCACATTGCTCGGTGTCTGGCTCTGATACCATTTGTAACGGTCCAAGCCCACCGCTAGCAGATATTGTCTTCTTTAAGCTTCCCCTCAAGGTTTTTAAAAACGCATCTGCTAGGGAGAGGTTTCCACCCTTATAAAAAATGTTTCGTTTTTCTCCCCAACCGATGTGGGATCTCACATTATAACTTGGACTATTTTTTATTACTTCTATACTCTCAATTTGCACGAGGTTAGATTAAACCTCATTGAACATAAACTGTGATAGGAGCTTGTTTTGGTAAATATCTTTTCTGAGATTTTCTAATCTGGTCCCCCGTACTATGTGCTGTTAGTTTCTTTGTGCAGAGTTTCCAAGGCTTTGCTTGGTGATTATGCAGAGAAGATAGAGGCCATTGCTTCAAAATTAGCTGTTCCTTTGGTACACTTACATGGGTTTGGTTGTTTTAAATCTGTTCTCTGTTAAGTTTCAAGATTGTGGAACTTCCCGGCATCAAAATCCCCTATCTGAATCAGTTTTTGTGTTAGCTTGTTTTTTTTTTTTTTTTGTTGAAGTTTTTTTTTTCTTCCCTCTCTCCTTGGAATTTAAAGCATCTTTCCCGTCAAAAAGATTGAAATTCTCTTGTGGTGTTTCTGTACCAATATTACTCATCTGGATCCATGTTTTGCTTGAATTTTTTGTGTATATACCAAGGATAATATTAAATGGTTACGTCATCTTTGATGGTTTGTGTTCTTTTGCTTGCATGTGGTGCAGTCTTGTCTCTTTTACTTAATGTTTTGGTCAACTTGCAGCCTGATGAGGAAGAGTCTTCTGAGCCCTCTACAAGTACTTCTGTTAAAGAATTTTCTTCTGTGGCAGAAGGAGAAATAAACGCCCCCCATTCACCTCCGGGGCTAAGGAGGAGATTTCTGTGCGTGGCTCACATTAGGATTTATGTGACACTGAATCGTTATTGAAGTTTCTTTTTATCAAACCAATGTTATTATATTACTGTGTAGGCCTTCTTCCTCTGTTGTGGAGGATAGATCTCATGGGACCATCAAAGAAGACTCGTCAGCACCTGTCAAGTTGGATGCTGCAGCAATATCCCACATCGAGAAACACAGGTACTGGTAGTTTCAAGTATTTTTAATAAAGCTTGCACTTTTTCCCCGTATAGCTTACTATGTTACATGATGAATCTTATGTAAGGTTAGTTATTAAATAAAGAGTATAGATTACAATAGATTACAATACAAGTTCAGATAAGAAACCAATCAAGGGAAAAAACCCTATACGTAATGGCTATACCAAGATAAAAATTTCATTAGGGAGATCTGTGAGTTCTGATGAAACATCTACGACTTTCAATAATACTTAAATGAACTGGAAAATCGAGGCTCGATAATGTGGCTACTAGAACTGACTATAGGAAAAAAAAAACATTGGCTTTAGTTGCATGTTGTTTGTTGACATTACTTTCCTTATGCTTACAGTCTATCATGAAAACCATTATTTATTCACTTTGGTAGGAAGCTTCAAGAGGACTTGACCGATGAAATGGTTGGGCTAGCGAGGCAATTGAAAGAGAGCAGTCTGATAATGAGCAAATCTTTGGAAAGCACTGAAAAGGTATATGTTCTCTACTAATTGTTCGCTGTCGACGTAGTAGAAAGTGGAGATTTTATGCATCTGATTTCTTTAAAATACACACGAACACTAGAAAAATCGAAATAAAAGTTTTTGCTTCTTCTCCATATTCAAAGCGTACTACGATGAATTCTCTCTCTTCAGTGAGTTAGCTGCTTTATATAAATTTCATGGAATTGAAGGTTTTCTGTTTCTGGGACATGCATTCAGAGGGTTGTTTTCCTTAAAGTTGAAATTTGTATTAAATCTAACTCTGGAATTAACTCTGCAAAGTGAATTAGAACTCAATAAAGGGCTAAATACTGCCATAATCGCCTACTTCAACTTTTGGGAATCTGACCTTTTCGTCAGAAGATTAGAAGTTGTGGAATACAATGGAAGTTCTCTTGTACTCTCTTATTTGCGCCAGTACTGCCAATGTCAGGGGACTTTAAGATCTCGAACCGTAACAGCACAAATCCACTGCTAACATATATTGTTCTTTTTGGGCTTTTACTTTCGGACTTTCCCTCAAGGTTTTTAAAACGTGTCTGCTAGGGAGAGGTTTCCACACCCTTATAAGAAATGTTTCGTTCTCCTCTCTAACCGATGTGGGATCTCACAATCCATTCCCTTTGGGGCTCAGCGTCCTCATTGGCACGCTGCTCGGTGTCTGGCTTTGATACCATTTGTAACAGCCCTAGCCCACTCTTAGTAGATATTGTCCTCTTTCTGGGCTTTCCTTTTCGAGCTTGCTTCAAGGTTTTTAAAATGCATCTGCTAGGGAGAGGTTTCCACACCTTTATAAATAATGTTTCGTTCTCCTCTCCAATTGATGTGGGATCTCACACGAACTGAAGTTTTGGATCTTCTAATACCTTCATTCTTATCATATTGGATGATATTTCAAGTAAATATGCGGTTTGGATATCGCCATGGATTACTCACTTGAGTCCATTGCATGATTCAATCACAAGCATAGCCAGCTTTGTGGACCTTGATACTTTAGCGCTGCAGTCCCCTTTTCTTTTTCCCAGCAAGTTGTACTCTCTGTCTTTAGTTGATTTGCTTTCGATGAATAATTTAATTTTTATCTGAAAATAAGTTTTTTACTTGGGAGCATCTTTTCAAAATGCCAAAGATTACCTCTGCAGTCAGTGATGGTAACAGTGGCACCGATTCACTCTGTATATAACTTTGTGTCTACTCCAAATTGTAAACATTTTTCTTCCTGATGTTATAGTAAACTTGATCATTGTCTTCAAACAGATACTGGATTCCACAGAGAAGGCCGTTGAGGATAGCTTGGCAACCACCGGTCGGGTCAACAAACGTGCCGTTCAGATTTACTCGGAGAGCTCAAAAACATCATGCTTCACTTGGTTGGCAATCTTCGTAATGACCTGTGTGTTCGTGATGGTTGTTCTTCTCATTCGAGTTACTTGAAATACTAGGAACTAATTTGCATTCCCAGGAAAGAGATTCGAGCATTGTTGAATATTGTATACACATTTTCGAGGAAAAAGTAAGCCAGAAGAATAGATGGTGAGAATTCTTGTTTTAAAGCCTTTTTCTTTTAAAATGCTATCACCAAATTAGCATTGGTTTGCTTTTGAGCAAATGGTTTCAAAATTTGCAGTTGGCATATTTATTATGAAGTTGCAATTCTTCCATTGCGATTTGAGAAATTATTAGAAATACCCTCTGGTTTATATGTACAGATTTGTCAATTTTACAGACAAATTCCAAAAGCTGTCTTTATGTCTATTATATCGTTTACATGAGATTCCACGTCGGTTAGGTAAGGGTGAAAACTCTTTATAGGAGTGTAGAAACTTCTCCCTAACTGACAGACTTTTAAAATTGTGGGGTTGACGGCGATACTTAATGGGCTAAAGCGAAAAATATTTGCTAGTAGTGGGATTGGGTTGTTATAGTGGTATCAGAGTCGGGCATTGAGTGATATGTTAGCGAGGATGCTGACTCCCAAGGAGATGGACTGTGAGATCTCACATACTTCATTCCTTATTATTTTCAATTGAACTATATTCATGTTGACAATATCTGAACTTGCAATTTGGGAGTGGACATACTAAATTTTTAAGTCGGATTCTTTTTTTTATTTTTTACGATCTTACCATTTCTCGTCACATTTCAATCTCTGTTCACAAGGGTAATTCCGTCTTTTCATGTTTAGTTTTTCATTGATTTGGCCATATGTAGGGTTTATAAGTATAGGTTTTAAGTTGTAAAATAATAAGTGAAATGAATATTACCTAAATTTGTTGTCTTGCCTTTACACCTCACTATTCTTTTGATTAATACCAAAAAGACAAATCTTTATTATAGCATTACAGATCATCTATTGCTTTCAAATGTTTGTCAATTTGACAGAGAAGAACAGTACTTAACCTCACATGCTCATCATACACACCTTCCACCTTCTTCAACATACCTTTTCTTCTCTCTCTTCCTCTCTCTCTCTCCTCCGTTGATGTCAATGAAAAATTGGATCTACCCTCTTCATAAAAACATCAAATTTTACCAAATCGAATCCTAATTTAAATTTATGGTAAAGTAATTTTACTATTATCAACATGAATATAGTTCAATTGAAAATGGAAAATTTTGAAATGGATAATATCAAATAATTGAAAAAAAAAAATTGTTTCTTGAATTTTGGAGTTATACACACAGGCATGTTAATCAATAAAAAAAAGATTTGAACAAATTAGAGAGGAAAAAAAGAAAGCAAAATGAAACAATAATTAGTAAGAGAAAGATCATGTAGTAATGGGTTTGATCTTCTTGGAAGGAATTTGAAGCTCAATATACACAGAACTGAGATCTTGAGGAGCTTCAAAGAACGGCGGCGGCAGAAAGTTCAATTTTCTTCGAGGAGGACGAGGTTTCTTGGGCGCCGGCGGACACACCATGGTCGGCTTCAGGCGGGTGGCGGCGGCTGTCGGCGTCTGGCAGTTTTCTTGTTCTTGAATATTGTGGTCTGCTTTTTCTTTGGGGAGTTGAAGCGATAGTGATCTTAATGGTGTAAGTGGCCGGAATTCCTCCAAAACCTCCATACCCATTATGCAGCAGCTCCGGCGGTGGCCTGTGATCCAAGTTTTAATGGCTAAAGCGGCGGAGAGAGAGAGAGAGAGAGAGAGAGAAGGGCGTGGTGTTGGGCAATTGAAATGGTGATGATGAGAGAGAGTTATATGAGAGAGAGAGAGAGAGTGTGTGTGTGTGAAGAGAGGAAAAAGAGAACGTGGGTGGGGACGATTATTCGGTGGGGGTGAGAGGGGAGTGTTTTTTTTTGGTTGAACAAATGAGGTGGGGCTTGANATGAAGGTTTGACCCTTTGTTTCGGTTCGAGCGAGGGTAATAATGTCTTAATCGTTTGAGGTATACAACTGATTTAAGGTATAAATGCACGAGACGATATTATCTAACATAATGTAACTTTAACGATCACAATTCATCCAACGGTGCTAGAAGATGCACCAATCGCAAATTGATAATTGAGCGAGAATGTACTCCATAATTTACTATAACAGTTCAAACCTACTACTAGCATATATTGTCCTAGTTAAGTTTACCTTCAAAGTTTTAAAAACGTGTATAGAGGTAGGGGGGTCTAGCGTCCTTACTGGCACATTGTCTCGTGTTCACACCCCTTCAGAGCTTAGCCCCTTCGCTGGTCATCGCCCAGTGTTTGGTTCTGATACCATTTGTAACAGATCAAGCCCACCGCTAACACATATTGTTCTCTTTGGACTTTCCCTCAAGTTTTTTAAAACGTGTATACTAGGGAGAGGTAAGGGGGTCCAGCGTCCTTGTTGGCACACTACCTCGTGTCCACCCTCCTTCAGGGCATAGCCTCCTCGTTGGCACATCGCCCAATGTCTGCTTCTAATACCATTTGTTACAGCTCAAGTCCACCATTGGTATATTATTCTCTTTGGACTTTCCCTTTCGAGCTTCCCCTCAAAGTTTTTCAAACGCATCTACCTGGGAAAAGTTTTCATACCCTTACAAAGAATGTTCGTTCTCCTCCTCAACCGATATGGGATCTCACAGTTATAGATGAGCATACATAGTTGGGTTATTCGATGAATGTAGGTCAAATCAAGTAAAAGAAAGATTAAAGAACACGAGAAAAAATTCTCCGTAGAGAACCCGATCTTTGTAAATTCCTCACATGGAGAATTTCGCGAGAATAGAGACGGGAACGAGGAAGGCTTCTCTATTCTTGTTCCACCCGATGGACATACCCAATCAACTAAAGAACATTGTAGTTTAAGTAAGTTTCTCTCTTAACACGGACTTAGACATCGTCTCAGAGAAAAAATTAGGTCAAGTTTTTGAGTTGATCGGTGATGGGTCGGGAGAGAGAAAGGGTGACAATGGAAGGGAAAAAGCCAAAGAGCAGCCTTTAAACTGACTGACAAACAGTAAATGAAGCTTGTTCATCTGCTTGTCTGCATTATACTTCTTTTTTCTTCCATTTTCTCTCTAAAAAGTTAAGATTTTTGTCCACTTCAAAAGCTGGGGATTCCCTTTTGAACTCTATAGGATGTTTGTTCTGTGACCCATAAACCCTAACAGATTAAAACTTTGATTAACTTAATCACTGCTTAATCTTGTTCACTAATCACAATCACCACAACTTAATTGGGGCCCAATGATTGGAAGAACAGCTCATGATGTTCTTGTCTACAATGTCTTAAACAACCAACTTCATTCATGTGTACTTAATTTGTTTCTTAATTACAAAAGGGATTGCTTAAGATGATCATCCACTTCATACTTAATCTAATCATTAACCTAACAGTTTCAAGACAAAAGCTGCTTACATAACATGCTCCATGTGAGCCTTCTTCTTTTGTTCTAACCCTATTTGAAACTCTAAAATGATATTTGTTCGGTTTTGTTTGCTATGTTTTCTTAACAAAGAAGAAACACGAACAATAGTTCGACGCTGTTTTCGATCGAATAGCTATCAAATGATGTCTGAATCTGTGAGATCTCACGTTTTGGAGAGGAAAACGAAGCATTCCTTATAAGTGTGTGGAAACCTCTCCCTAGAAGACGTGAGGCTAATTGTAATATGTAATCAACTATCTGCTAACAGTGGGCTTGGACTGTTACAGAATAGTATCAGAGTAAAAAGTAAAAGCATTGTATCAGCGAGTACGCTAGCTAAAGTAGACAATATTTGCTAGCGGTGGGCTTAAGCTATTAAAGAATGGTATCAGAGCCAAACATAGGACGGCGTGCTAACGAGGATGTTGGGCCCTAAAGGGGAGTGGATTGTGAGATACTACAAGGTTAGACAGAAGAACGAAACATTTCATATAAGGTTGTGGAAAATTCTCCCTAGAAAACGTGTTTTAAACCCATGAGGGGGACGGTGATGCGTAGAAGGCTAAAATGGACAATATCCGCTAACAGTGAGTTTTGATTATTACAGAATCATTAGTAGGATGGATGTTTTTTCTTTGTTATAGCACCAAATCTATGTTCGAAGATCTTTGTCGGAAACATATTAAGACTAGAAAGTTTAGAACAATCAAATTAAAACATCGAACATTTGAAAGGTAGAACTTAATGTGTCGCCAAATTTAATTAGTAAGCTATGATAAAAAAAAAAATGTTGTCTTTCAAGTCTTTTTCAAATATGAGAATCCTATGTTATTCAAAGACAAAGAAATTAAATTAAATTATATGAGAGAAAAAAAAAAAAACACATCCAAGTGGGAGAGGTGAAGGAGACCCTTAAAGCATCCTATGAAACTTGTCTATTTCTAAATTAAAATAATAATAATAATAATAATAATAATAANTAATAATAAATCTTTTATAAGGTTTTTTTTTAAAAAAAAAAAAAAAAGACATTATGAGTAATTATTGTGGGTGTTTTTTTTATTTAAATTTCAAATTTTGGCGGGTAATGTTTTATTAATCATTTGTTGTTTAAAGACTTTTTATTTAATTAATGGAATTAAGAAAAATTAATGGAACTAATCAAATGTCATTAACTTTTGTCGGCTCATTTGGAATGGATATTATTGTCCTTTTCCTTAAACTAAGCCTTTTTTTTTTATTTTATTTTGTATTTTATTTCATTTGTTCTTTTCAAACGAAAAAAAAAATCATAATAATAGCCCAAATTATTAAGGGCCACTTTTTAAAGCCCTAACTGGAATTTTTGGGCCAGTCTAAACCTTAAATGGGCCCAATAAACTCTTAAAGCCCAACAATGCCATGGTTAACAGGCTTTTATGATTTTATTATTATTTATTTATTTAATTCAAATTTTAAAAGACGGGATATCGAACTATCAACCTTCGTTCAGAATCGGTATCTTCTTTACTAAACTATACTCAGATTGACTCATCGAGCTTGTTAGCTATAATATATATATATATATATATATATATATATATATATATATATATATATATATTTATTTATTTATTTATTTTACCCTTCCATTAACTTATCTATTTTTTAAATATATTTATCTATCCATTTTTTAAATTTATTTATTTATTAATAACTAAAATTTCATGAAAAAATTCATAAGTCGCGATATTTTTTCATAAATATTCTTAATATTAATAATAATTAACGGTCGAGTTATTCAAATCATATGATGGAAAAATATGATAATTGAACGGTGAAAAAGAAAAATAATAACTTTTTTTCCAACCA